ATATCAGTTATGTCTTCCTTGCCCCCCATATGACACTGCTAGATTAAATACTAAAGACAGAGCTCAAGTAGGTTCTTCTATTTGGAACAGTTTTCCTGATTGGTTAATTCCTTCCTTTGTATACTCTGAAACCCAATTTAGATATTCACATATCCTTCCACATCCCAAATACATAAAATTTTAGGGACATGATAATTTCAATTTAAAACTTCTATTTTTGACAGTAGGCTCCACATTCCTCTGAGTCAGGAAATTAGATTTATATGGGTATTTGTCTCCTCAGTGGGTAGCATAGCATCTGCCATGTGGTTCATGGGGCATGGAGAAAGGATGTGATTTTCTCAGAGTTGCACACTGAATGAAGGCAGAACCCAGTCACTCACTCTGTACTTCTTCCTGCATTGGAATCAGTGCTTTTAGTCATCGTTTAGTTACTTTTTAGTCAAAGATATAAAAAATAGAACTATTATTTGAAAATCAGGAAAATGAGAATTTTGAATTTAAATTTGTTGTCAACTTGTGAATTTTGGGCCTCTGAGCGATTTTATAAAAGCCTGAATGAGGATGTTTGGCAAGGAAACTATTTTCCCCTTCATACTTGCAAAATCAGGGAAGAATTATGTTTTAACTAGGCATGGTGATTCACACCTAATTAGGAAGAAGAAAACAATGCAAACCAATACAAGGAGAAGGTGGCCAATTGGATTCCATGAAACAGTTTCACTGGAAGCAAGAAAGCAGCATTCAGATCCCAGGTCCCAGTGGTATCTGAAAACTAACAGATGTGTAATTCTGTGGGTTTGATTTTTGAAATCACATTTTAAAGTCTGCCTGGAGTTTTTCTTTTTAATATTTTATTTACTTTTATTTTATGCATATGCATGTATTGCCTGTATATAGGTAAGTACACCTGTGTAGTGCAGTGCCCTCAGAGGACAGAAGAGGCCATTGGATCCTCTGGAAAATGGACAGTTGTTAGCCGCCATGTGGGTTCTGGGATTTGAACCCGGGTTTTCTGCAAGAACAGCCAGTGTTCTTAACCACTGAGCTATCTCTCTAGCCCCTCTACCTGGAGTTTTACTGGGACTACAGAAGGTGAAATTTTTCCTTCTCATTCCTAGAAAAACTTTTCTTGTATTGATCTGAAAATTCTTGATCATTCTGCACATCTGTATTCCAACACACCCATGTGTCCAACCACTATGAAAAAGTGTAAGTTTATACTCCGAAGTAGCAAAGCAAAACTTTCAAAAAGTTAAAAGCAGAATTCTTACTTCCTCTTTTTTTTAACAAAAGACCTGAATCTCTAACCCAGGTCTTGAACTCATAGTGATCCTTCTCCCTTAGCTTCCCAAGTGTTAGGATTGTAGGTGTGAACCACTATGCCTAGTTAAAATATAATTCTTATGCAAATATATAGTTAGCATAAGTGAAAGATACCTTTAATTCGTGGGTGAGAAGTCAAGAAAGATGGAAAAACTGGTACAAGGACAAATGCAAGAAATCAGATTAATGCAGCTATAGAGGCAGTGGGAAACATGCCAAGACGAGATTCTCAAATTAGGTACAAAGTCAGTTAATGTTCCACTGGCTTCGGACTATCTTCTCTGCTGGACACATGCTTAATTTATCTTTTCTGACAAAAACCATTTGTATATCCTATCAATTTTCTATCGCCCAGTATTTAACTTTACCACCCTGAGTCCTAATCAATAACAATTAATGATCAGGGCTCCGCTCCCAGAGGGTCAGACAGGCAATGATAGGCATTTTTGTCTGACTTCTAAGTTTTTTTTTTTATTTAACAAAAGAACCACAGATAGAGAAATAATATATCAACTGCCAATCTGAGATCCCTAAAATATGCCCTCCAGAACTTAATGTTAAGACCCTATTGTTAAAGACAACACATATTTGAGTTATAAAATGGAGAAATCAAGTGGGTACTGACCTGGAAGGTTCATCCCTATTGATTAGCTCTCATAGTGCTACAAAGTCTTATGCAGGATAATGGAGAAGAAAAGTACTCATCAGTCTTATGCCTGGAGTTAAAATAATGACTGGCCTGGCAAGATATGCCCACTGGTGGAATAGTGGCAAGAATGCTATAGTACGAACCAACCACACTCTGATTGGATTTAGGATATACTCTAGGAAATGGAACCCCTGCCTGGCATTGTTATCAGGACCAGAAATCTGTGGCCAGAAAAGTCCTGGGCACTAGAGGAGAACCTGTTACCAATATTCTACCAAATGGACATAATATTAAGATGACTGCTCATGACTTAATGTTGTACTTATAGACTAGTTCATCTCTAAATGCTCATTAGAGAAGTTTCTTCTTGCAGTAGATGGAAATTAACAGAGAGACCCACAGATGGTCAAAGGGCAGAGAAGAGACTATGGAGTGCTCAGCCATAAATGGGACATCTATATCACTCCCCCCCACAAAGCCTTGGTGATCATTGTTGAAGAGGGGGTGGAAAGACTGTAAGAATTAGAAGTGGTAGATGACTATAAGATAACTGCTTGCCAGACACCAGGAAAGTTCCACATGTGAATTCACAGTAATTGTGACACTATGCCCCAGGCCTGCCCAAGCACAAGTCAGACAAAACTCCAGCATGGTGGGGGAGGTGAGCATGAAAAGCTATTTACATTTGATAGCTGCTGGGAAAGGGAGCATCAGTTTTCTTCAAGGGTGTGATCCTTTGTTGTTCCATACAATCCAGGGCAGGTTCCGACACTTAGTAATGTTTAGTAGTATTTGGACAGCACATACTGGACTCAATAGGGAAAAGACAAAGAACATGAAGTGTGAATGAATAGAGAGGTGGGAGCAGATCTGGGAGGAGTTGGGGAGGAGTTAGAGGAGGCAAAGAATATAATCAAAATATATTGTATGAAGCTCCCAAATAATTAATTAAAATAATAAAATTAAAGTTGTCAATTATAGCTATAGTTAAAATAGTATTCCATACAAAATAGACTACAGAGGCAAGATTAAAATTGGAAAATAATTTGGGAGTTCACTGTAATAGGTCAGGCAAGATATAATAAGGTTTAAATTAGTGTGATGGTTGAAGAAATGTTAAGCAGTAGATTTTTTGAGACAAGCTTTGGATATGGGGCCACTGTGATCTTTGTTGTTGGGATTGGAAGATATGAGAATGATAATAAATAAATAAATAAATAAAGTAAAAATAAATAGAACGAGGAGGGAGGGAAGGAGGAAGGAAGGAAGGATGGAGGGAGGGAGGGAAGAAAGGAGGAAGGAAGGAAAGAAGGAAGAAAGGAGAATATAAATCAAGGATGATTCTTGGGTTTATGCAACTGGTACATACATAGTCACATTCTTTAAAAATTTATGTTATTTTGACTATTTGTGTATATGTGGATGTCTGTGTGTGGACATGTGCATGTGAATGCAGGTGTCCACAAAGATCAGAGGCATTGAATCCCCAGGTCACCCAACGTGGTTCTGGGACCTGAACTCAGGTCCTGTGCAAGAGGTTTTAGCTATTGCTTCAGCCCCCTTTTTTATATTTTTATTTATGGGGTTTTTTTTGTGTGTGTGGGAGAGCCACATGTGTGGTGGTAAAAGGACAACTTGCAGGAATTGGTTGTCTCTTTTCATCATGTGGGTCCTAGGCATCAAACTTAGGTCATTGGGTTTGGAGGCAGGCACCTTTATTCTCTGAGTCATCTTGACTACCCCATAGTAGCATTTTTATTGATATGAGTAAGAAAGTGGTATCAGGAATGGAGAGAGAAAAATTTGAAATGATTTTGGCAGAAAGTAATCAAGAATTCCATAGGTGACACATCTACAGTTGAACCTCTATACCTACAACCTCTACATGGAACATAGCGGGACAAGGGGTAGAGAGAAAACTAATGCATCCCTCAACTTTCACCAGTAAAGCTTCATTATACAACGACCACAACTGGCCAAGTTTTAAAGAATAAGAGACTTTAGGGTGTGTATCTTTGGATGGCACTCCTATATTGAAACTCACCCACCCATGACTCAGGGACCATTGTGGAAGAGGGTGCAGAAAGATTGTAAGAGGCAGGGCTGGATCATAAACACAAGAAAGTAGAGTCTGTCAGACCACTGGAAGCTTGCACATGTGAATTTGTGGCAATACTGGCATCAAGAGTAAGACCTATGCCAACACAAACAAGGGCCCAGAGGGAAAGAGAGAAATGGGTGGTAGGCTGGCCCTAGACCACTGGAGACTGATTGATGCTGGATGAGAGAGAGTATGCCTTAGACACAATCTCTAGATGGCTAACTGGACTCCAGTGACTGAATTTACACTGAAGGACATCTGGGCATAAATACTTGACCAGATAAGACTTAACTTGTGTAAAGGAATACCTGAGTTCTGGTGGGGGGTTTATGGGGTATGGATGTGGGGAGGGGGTCTAAGTTTGGTTAAGAATTGTTATATGAAATGTACAAAAGCCCAATAAAAATTTAAAAATGTAAAGAAAAAAGAATTCCATTTTGATTGAATGAGCTATGACACATGGAAATTGAGATGTCATGAACGTAATTGGATGTGAGGGTGGAGCTTAAAGAAGAGACTGTCTTTCAGTTATCAATGGGAACCTCAACATGCAGATGATATGCAAGTTTATGAAGCTATATGAAATATTCAAAATCAAAAGTATAAACAAGAAGCCTCAAATTTTTGAGATCTATGTCAATATGCCACAGATAAGTTAATGGCAGAAAAGGTCCATCATTCCATTTCTATCCTAACTTTCATTAAAACCATCACACACACACACGTATATATATATATATATATACGTGTGTTTACATATGTATTATATATAAATATGTGAAATAACACTTTCCTCCTTTCTGGGCTAACTAATACCTATGTATAGATCTCTTTCTTGATTGTGAAGAAGTCTCCTAAAAAATGAAAGAGAAAGAGGAAATGTGAAGGCACAGGGAAGAAGAGTGGAGGGAAATTATTCCTTACCTCTTCTTCCTCAAGTAGAATGAGCCGAACCACAACGATGTGAATTGCATTGCCAATGCTTGGGTTATGGAACAACCCAGTAACCTGTAGTCAGAAATGGAAATTCTCAACTCCACAAAATACATAGTATATACCTATGCCAACACTAGAATGCAGGCAAATAAATATTCTTATAGCTTATGAATTCTTGGAGTAGTTCTAAGATGTACAAATTTCATTCTACACTGTAATATTTAGACACCCCTTCAGGGTGATGGATTGGATAGGTATCTGAGAGATTTATCCCTTCTTTTCCTTGACCTTTCCCCTAGTCCAAGGTCTTCCTCTCTTTCTTCATCAGCTACTCAGGAAAATGATTTTTTTGCCATCACATTAGAACAGACACCCTTCCTGGGAAAGTAACACATAGGGATAATGCATAAGGGAAGCTTGAACTTTGGGACTGCAAAGCAATTATATTCTAATTCTAGCTCTCACTACCTCAAGGAAATCATGCTCTATTTCTTTACTTTTCTCACAGACTTAATACTAACAGAAACTGATGATACAAAGACATACTAAAAGGGTCAAGTCACTTGGCAAATAATAGAAGTATGCAAATGATGAATTATAAATTTTCCCCAGGGATATAACTGCCTTGAACTTCCATTATTGTTCACTTAAGCAAGAAACAGACAAGTATGTGCATATTTGAGTGCCCATGCACATGTGTTCATGTGTGTTTTAAAGAACAAAAATCTTTCTTTGTAAATTTCATTAGTTTGAAACACTACCTATCCCAGGCTAGCCTCAAACTTGCAATCCTCCTACCTTGGCCTGCCAAATTTTGGGATTTCAAGCCAGGATTACTATTCCAGCAAAAATATTTTTTGATGGAAAGGAAGGGCATTTCTAAGGGTAGCTGTTCACCAACTTCCATCTTTGTGCCATCTGTCATACCATGTTCATGATGGTGAGGATGTAGGACTCCACATTCTCACTTCCATGGTACTCAACCATCTTCGTGTCGGCCACCACCAGTGTCTCCACCCATCTCTCCTTGCTGATGGAGCGCCGGGAGAGGCTTTTGCTTGGCAAGTGGTTCCTTTCCCACTTCTCTCGCTGTAGCTCTTGCTTCTTAGAGTTACCAAGACTATCTGAACAGTAAACAAAAGACATTAGCTAGTATGCTAAGTACACAAATATACTATATATATTTATGTATAAAATATTATCCACTTGTGTTTGCAAAAATGCAAGGTTGTATGTTTAATTCATGATTAATAATATTTGAGTAAAATGTTCTTACATAATACAAGTGTGAAATAGAAGATGAGATCAATTTAAATAAATGAGCAAAATGAGTCAAATTTGAGTCTTTTTAGTATTTTATGTATATGAATGTTATGCTTGTATGTATGCAAGTGTGCCTGTGTTGAGCAATGCCCATGGAAACCAGAAGAGACTGTCAGATCTCCCAGAACTGGAGTTAGGGACAGTTGTTAGACACCATGTGAGTGTTGGGATTTGAATCCAGGTCTTCTGCAAGAATAGCCAGTGCTCTTAACTGGTGAGCCATCTTTCCAGGCCCTTGACTCTTATAAGGATGTTCAGAAAATATTTATTTGGGGGGCTGGAAGGATGGCTCAGAAGCTAAGAGCACTGGCTGTTCTTGAAGAAGATCCAGGTTTGAATCTTAGTATCCATGTAGTAGCTAACAACATCCATAACTCCAATTCCAGGAGATCCAACACTCTCTTCTGTCCTCCTTGGGGACTGCAAGACACAGGTGTACCTACATCCATGTAGGAAATACATTCATACACATTTTTTTTTAAAAACTAGAGAAATGTTTATTTTTAAAAGTTATGCATTATTTCAGTAAACAAGACTTTTATTATAAAAACATATTGTAGTTGGTTGTGATGGGCACACCTGTGATTCCCAGCTACTCCAGAACTTGAAGTAGAAGAATGGTAAAGTCAAGGCCACCCTAGGCTACTAAAGAGACCCTGATTCAACATAAAGTAAAAAATGGCTAGGAGTATAGCTCAGTAGTAAGATACTTTCCTAGCATATGTGATGTTCTGGATTACACACACACACACACACACACACACACACACACACACACACACAAATAGGAGCTTCCTCTTTCTTGTATTTCAGTGTCCACCAAAGACTAGGCAGTATATATTAATATTTAGATGCCAAATTGTCTAGCCTCACAGTTGTTTAAAATGCATGTTTCTCTCTCATTTTACAAGTGGGAAATGGATGCACAGAGTTGCTTGTTAATAAGTTCCCCAAAGTTACTAAGCCTATACAGTCAGTAGAAAATCCAGGATTTTCTCTGGGCTACATTATGTACTTTCATATTGACCACAATGTCTGCCATGGAGTAAGAACACATGACACAAGAATATACAAATGAGAAAAATGTAGAAGGCTCAAGGCATCCTGGTTCACAAAAGTGAAAAATATCTGAAAAATGACAATAAAATTATCAAGGTGACTAATAGGTTTCCGTATGAAAATTATTTGCTATGTGAAGATCAGGGTTTGTAAGGCATAATCTTAAAAAAAGCTACAGAATCATGAAGCAAATTGAAAAGATGTTGTATGAAATGATCCTAGAATACCAGGATACTGTTATATAACAAGAAATCACATCATCACTTGAAATAGGACTACAGAAAATCAAAATAGACTAGTAGTGTTACTCTATACATTGTGAAGCAGATGCTTAACCCAAGTGATAGTCAAGACTAAAAAGCTTCAGTGTACTTAGACCTGCTTAAGCAGCTGAAGTCTGATGAGGTAAGTACATGAGCAAATGGGGTTGGGGTGACAGAGAGACATCAACCTAGTCCTGGAAGATTCCTCATAGGAAGACAGTCTTGGCCACCTCTTGTCTATCCTAATCTATACCTTGTAGTCCTGACAGGAGCAGATCATGGGAGCCAAGAGTCAAATCTCACACTCCCATCCTAATCTCTGGTGCCTTAACCTGGCCACTCAATGTGAGGGAGTGCTCACCTTTCTAGGTATATTTTGTATTGCTGTGAGGTTCCCTCCTGTCCTGAGCTGAAACCTGCCTCACTTAGCAAATTCCACTCATTAGTTCTCTGAAGCATCTGGGATATGATGCCCCCCCCCCCACAAGGCCTTGCCTCAGACATTCAACTGAAACAACCAAAGCCAAATCCTGATTTCTCCTCAGTGCTCACTGTGCTGTAACGGTTCTTTTGTCTCACTATCGCTGCACATTAAACAATGTCAATGAAGTAGTTACACCTAAGTAAACACAAAATCTATAATTGTGGGTTTTCCTTAAAAACAATTAAGACTCCGATATAGTACTCATGAAGAATAATCTAAGATTGTATAAACATTGGAGGGAGCCCTCTAGGGGGTTGTAAAGAGGAGATGCTTAAACCCTCATCTGTGGTACAATTCTATTTTCTTTTCTGATTACTTTGCATGGTGAAGTATGAATCCCCAAAGAAATCTCTAGACAATCAGTAATTTCTTACTTTTTATACCCTTCTTTATTTCCCTATCAGCTTCTTGCCCCTTCTTTGAAGCTCATAGGAATGTTTCAAACTACCATCTGTTTTCAAATCTGAATAAGCCAGTAGTCAGCCTTCTGGGCTCCCTTTTTTTTTTTTTTTCTGGAAGAGGCCTGTGCAAGCATGGTTCAGTAAAGGAATCCTAACCAATCTTGATCCCCTCCCATCCTGGAGGCATGGTTCCTCCAAACTGCAAAATACCCAGTGTCCTACTAAGTTCAGGTATTGGGATGTGTTGGGAGCTACTATTATTATGGGCACAGCCATTGCTGCATTAGGCTGTGGCAGCTTGCCTTGACTTAAGCATTGGAGAAAGAACGCATCCACCTTGGGAGTTTCCCTGCTCTCTACTCTGTGGTCTGAGTTGACAGGCTATGCTTCCCTGATTAATTGGCAGTCTTGGAAACATAACCAAAGAGTTCTATTTCAGTTTATGGGCACTGGAGTTTCTCAGCACCATTAGCTTGGTTTCTGTAATAGAAATAATGAATTATAGTAGTTGCTGAAAGTAATCACAAACAGTACACCTTATATCTAAGATATTATAAATATTATGTAGCTGAATCTTAGATACTGTAAACGTTGTGTGAGTTTCGGTTGGTGAAGTAATGTATTCTTGGTGGTAACATAATGTATCCTTGGTTATTCCTTGGTTACTTTCTGTTTAGTGATGTATCCTTAGTTATTCCTTGGTTACTCCAGATCTGATTCCTATATAACCTTGCTTCAGTTCACAATAAACATGCACTGGCACATAGACCTCTGCATTCCCCGTATCCTGATTTCTATCCTTCGGGGTTCCCAAGCCCTTCAGGCTTGAACTGTGGTCAGTACGCCATGACAGAGATGACTGACAGAAGACTCCTTCTGTAGTGTTTTTATTAAAATATATTAATTGTACATAATAATGGGAATATGACTTTTCCATAAATGCAAATAATGTAACTCTTTATCTGCCTCACTCCCACTGATTCTCTTCCTACCAGTCCCTCTTCCTCTTTTTTCTTCTCTTGTATTGTCTTGCTTTCCCCACATCCTTCCTCATCCTCATCCTCATCAAAACACTGACAGCCTGTTTGCTTCTTGTGCTTCTTCAGTAGGAGCTACTTTATAGGAAATTTTTGTCCCAGTAGAAACTTCATAAGGAGGAAAGAGATCACGAAGAAGAAAGCATAAGCTCCTTGAAGCAGGAGGTACTAGGCATCTGCTCCCACTCCATAAATAAGAGCTGTTCATTCCCACACAGATCATCATAAAAGACAGCCTTCTATAATCAGAAGAGACTTCAGCAGTCATTTACTACAACTCCCTTCATAGGCTGGTGTGCTAGATAGCTTTAGTGTCAACTTGACACACCTGGGTTGAGGGAGCTTCAATTGGGGAATTATCTCCATTGAACTGGCCTGTGGCCATGCCCGTGAGGCATTTTCTTGATTGTTGTGTGATGTGGGAGAGCCCAGCCCACTGTGGGTGGTGCCATCCCTGGGTAGGTGGGCCTGTGTTGCATAAGAAAGCAGGCTGAGCAGAGGCCAGGGGAACAAGCCAGTAAGCAGTGTTCCTCCATAGCCTGTACTCTAGCTCCTGCTTCCAGGTTCCTGCCCTGAGTTCCTACCTTGGGCTCCCTAATGAACTGTGACCCAGGAGGTGTAAGCTGAATAAACCCTTTCCTCCCCAAGTTGGTAGTGGTCAGAGTGTTTGCCTCACAGCAATGAAGAAACAAACTAGGACAGCTGGCATGCTCTGTTTCCCTCACATGATGTGCCATGCACCACTAGGCATTGATAGCTCTGAAAACAAAGTGGAACTCAGTATCAAGAGAACTTTGCAAAGAGCGTATTCAATTCCTCATGGGAGGTTCACAACATGGGAACTCTATTATAAACAAATTCCTTGCTTTACATGAAAGGTAATTGTGCAGGATTATAAACTCTTTTTGAACATTTTCAGCAGTGAAAACTCACTAGTGAGGACTAAAAGGCTATGAGAACTTTTCATGGTGCCTTGGGTGAGATGTGAAAGTTTGTGAGGTTTTCAAAAATTCCACAGCCAACAAGCTAAAGGCGGAGTCAACTGTGTTCTGTCAGTGTTTAAGCATGTGGGACTCATTACCCACTTGGTTGATTATCTAGCTGTTTTTGGTCTTCCTTCTGCCCCCAGCTGCCTCCTCCACATCTGGTCTTCATTGTGAGAAATGCATCAGCACATTTCTATAAGAGGGTAAAGAAGGGAAAGGACACATGTGGAATTAGATCTCAAATCAGTGGAATTGCTTTTTATGACCAGAGTAGACAATGAATAAATGGGTAATTTATAAACAATAATGAATCCAATTGTTCTGTATTCTCATCTCATTCAGATTATCAACTCTCTAAAGGAATTTTAAAATGTCTCTTTTATTTATATTCTATTTGAAGATATTCTTTGTTGTTTCGTAATGCTCATCATTTCCTTCCTCCACAGTGATGTAGGGCAGGATCAGGACCATGGAGCTTTGAGAACTTTTCATCTTTTTAGGTACTTAAACATTTTGTCCACCCCTAAGCCTAGGGTAGTGTTTGTGTTTGGCATCTACTAGCTGCTAACAC